TTTGGGTAAATACCTAGGAGTGGAATTGCTGGATCATATGGAAGCTCTATGTTTAGTAGGTCCAGAAATCTCCACACAGCTCTCCATAGTGGTTGGACCAGTTTGCACTCCCACCAATAGTGCAGGAGAGTTCCTTTTTCTCCACAACCTCACCAACATTTGTTGTTGCTAGTTTTTTAAATATGTGCCATTCTCACTGGTGTAAGATGGTATCTCATGGTAATTTTGATTTGCATTTCCTTGATTACAGTGATGTTGAACATTTTTCATATGCCTGTTGGCCATTTGCATTTCCTCTTCAGAGAAGTTTCTTTTTAGCTCTTCTGCCCATTTTTTGACTGGATTATTTTCTTTGTTGTTGAGTCTCATCAGCTCTTTGCAGATTTTTGTGATCAGTCCTTTATCATTAGTGTTGTGTGCAAAATGTTCTCCCAGTTGGTGGGGTTTCTCTTTGTTTTGGTTATTGTCTCTTTTGCTGTGCAGAAGCTCTTTAATTTGATGTAGTCCCAGCTGTTTATCTTTGCCTTCCCTATCATTGCTTTGGGTGATGTGTCTGTAAAGATGTCTTTGATGTGCATATCACGTAGTGTTTCGCCTATATTTCCTTCTATGTATTTTATGGTTTCAGTTCTTACATCTAGTTCTTTAATCCATTTTGAATTGATTTTTGTGTATGGTGTGAGGTAGTGTTCAAGCTTCATTCTTTTGCATGTAGCAACCCAGTTTTCCCAGGACCATTTATTGAACAAACTTTTCTTTGCTCCAATGCATAGTCTTTGCTCCTGTGTCAAAGATTAGTTGACCATAAATCTGTGGGTTTATTTCTGGATTTTCTATTCGATTCCATTGGTCTGTGTGTCTGTTCTTGTTCCAGTACCATCTGGACAGCCATCATTTGTTGCAGATATATTTGTGTTATTTTTTATTAGATCCTTAGTAAAGTACTATCCATTTCTATCTCTTATTGCCTTTCTAAATTGGAAATTTTGTCAGACATAAATATAGCTATTCCAGACTTTTTGAGTTTTGTTTTTTTTTTTTTTAATTGCCATATACTTGCAGGATTGTCCTACAGCCTTAACTTTAAGTCTTTGTTAAGTAAATTGCATTTCTGCAAGCAGCAGAAAGTTGTGCTTTGTTTTGAAATCCACTCAGCCACTTGTGTCTTATCATTGATGAATTCAAGCTATTTATATTGAAGGTAATTATTGAGACATAAGTGTTCATTTCTATTTTTTAGTTTGTTTGCCTTTTTCTTTTTTGACATCTGCTATGTTTTGTTTAGGTTCCTATTCCATTATCTTATGAATCCTTCATTACCCATTACCACTGGGTGCTCCTCCTTACTTTGGTCACCACACCTCATGTTTCCCTTCTGATGTCCTAATTCTGAAGTCAGATTTCTAGGACTTGTTTTGGTTTAGTTATCTCTATTCTTTCTTGTTATAGTCCACATATAAGTAAACTAATTTAGTATTTTGTTTCTTTTTTTGACTTATTTTGCTTAGCATAATTCCCCTCCAGTTCCATCCGTGTTGTCACAAATGTCAAGATTCATCTTTTAATAGCTGATGTTTAATAGTTGATGTAAATAGTGCTTCAGTGAACATAGGTGTGCTTATATCCTTTCAATTTTGTATTTTTGTATTACTTGATTATATACCTAGGAGTGGAGTTGGTGTATCATATGGTAGACTATTTTTAGTATTTTGAGAAACCTCCATACTGTTTTCCATAAAAATTGAATACATTCTCTTAAATGTTGCCTTTCAGTGAAGTCTGTTACCCCTCCTTCTGTCTTTAATGATAATGTTGCTGATTAAAATGTTCTGTGCTGTAAGTCCTTTTGTTTGAATATTTTAAAAGTCTCCTACCATTACCAAGTACATTTCTATTCATATTTTTGTTTAAGTCTGCTATTTTCTTATGGATTTTCTAACTGAATGGAAGTGGATAGTAATTTGTTGTATTTCTATCTATGTCTGTTAATATTATATATATTTACAATTATATCATTTTGGTAAGTTCTCACTTTAATAATTATATAATGTCCATCTTTGCTTCTTGTCACAGTTTTTTTTTTTTAAGATTTATTTATTTATGCATACAAGAGGTGCAGAACAGAGATGCGAAGGGTGAGAGGATTCACCAAAGACAGAGTGGGGAGCAGAACAGGCAGATCTACTGAAATACACTGTTGAGGGGAGCAGTGGATGAGACAGGAGAGGTCTGCTGAGCCATATGGGTTACCTCCCTGCCCGGGAATTGAACTAATGCTTCAGTGGCTATGGATAGCTTGCTGAGCCTTAACCCCTTGTGCCACTAGGGAGGCCCTTTTATCACAGTTTTTAACTTAAAGTTTATTTGTCTGATATAAGTATGACTATTCCTGCCCTCTTTGTGCTACCATTTTCAAGGAAAATCTTTTTTTATTATTTCACGGTCTTTGTATATACATAAATCTAAAGATACATTCTTTCTCCTGAAAAGGAACATTTAATGAAAATTGTGTGTTTTTGTATTTGAATTTCCATGGTGATTGCCTGTGTACCTTCTCTTTGGTGGTGTAAATTCAAATACATTGACATTTTGGGAAGATATTTGCAATTCTGTCTTTGATGTTTTCCAAAGTCTTATAAAAGTGGCCATAGTTGATTAGTTCATCTATTCATCATTTATTTATTGAATGCTATGATATGCAAAGAAGTTAAAATTAAAAATCTGCCCTTGTGTTGCCTTGTTAATCATCACAGGTTACTCTTGTCTACAAATTGCTGTAATCATGCCATTTTTTTAGGGTTTTTATGTGGTATTCATTTGCTTATTTTTCAAATTATCCTCCATAAATTCTGTATGTTCCTTCCACCCTTTATTGGCGGGGATTAAATATTGGTTAATATTTACCCAGTGCACTGCATAGCTATGATACCATAGCATACATTCTTGGGCCTCCCCGGTGGTGCAGCAGGTTGAGCGCAGCACTGTGAAGCTGTCTGCAGCCTCTGCAGTACTTGCTCAATTCCTGGTTGGCCAGGGAGCTACCCACATGGTGCGGCAGACCTCTCCTGTCTCACCCATTGCTCCCCTCAGCAGTGCTTTCAGTCAATCTGCCTGTTCTGCTCCCTGCTATGTCTCTGGTGAATCCTCTCACCCTCCCGCGACTCTGGCCTGTTCTCCAGCTCTTGTATAAATAAATTTTTTTTTTAAAAAAAAATCAATACATTCTGGAAGGAGAAAAAAATGTTAGCAAAGAATCTATCTTGAGTATATATATATATATATACAATGTAAGTTGCATGTTAGAGAGTTATTCAGAAATATCAACCTTGATACCAGCATCTGTGAAATGGCATTTTAGCTGAAACAACCCTGAGGAGCACACATTGTTAAAGTGCAAAAAAATTAGCAGAAAGTATAAAATATATACACCTATCTTCCAAGAAACTAGATTCAACAGACAAACCAATCCCAGAAGAGGATACTTTTTAAACTCAGACTTTTGGGTTGTACCACCTATCGAAATTTATTTAATAAATGTTTTACTTCTATGATAATGGTGATAGTTTTTAAACATTTAGTTAACTGTTGTTACTACCCTAAACAGTAAAGGAAAAATATAAAGAGATGCTTATTCATTTCTAGTAGAATTTTCATAGTAATAATAGTTTGGAAAATGAATTTTTAGAGAAATTTTTCAGGTAACTCTGAGAAATGTATTTACTACTCAGTTTTGACCTGATATTTAATTAAAGTAATAAAAGATGTCTCTAAGAGAGTCATCATTATTTGTCCAAAATGATTATATTCTTTGTATTTTAAATTATTTCTAACTTAAATTCTAAGAAGATAATTATTTTTTCACTGAAGGATTTTTTTTCCAAATATTTCATACTAACTTTGGGTCAGATTTTCTGAATGTCAGAGTAAAATCATTTTATTATAAAAATCAGATTTGAAGTATTAGTCATGATTACTTTATTTGTAGGTAAGGATTAAATCAAAGAGAATTTTGCTTCTCTGTGCTCAATGGCCTTCAGAAACAAAAGAAAAAAGTGTGGCCTGATTGATGCTGAGAAAGGAAGCGTTGGTTATGTTGGGACCTCCATGACAGTATTTTAAAAGCTACTTATCCTGGGTCTCTCCTCTTTCTAATCTTTTTTCTTTCTAATATTGAAGTCAATGCAAAAAAGTACTATCCAGCAAAGATAAGTAGAGCAAGTAAAGCAATTTTCTAAGTTAGTATATCCATACATATTTATTTTGAGTTATAGAGTCAATATTGGTAAGAAAGGAAGATTTTCTGCTTTATTATGAATTTTCTTGATGATGATAATAATGATGTTGATTCTCCTCCTCATATTTTCTTTCTTTTTTACCTCCTCTACCTCCCTTCTTTCATGTTTCAGCAATGTCACATAGTCAGTGTTTCCAATTAAATTATAATACCTGATTCATGTTTAGACAAATTTCATATAAATTTTTATTGTCATACATAATGATTTCTTATAAATCTGTTAATGTTTTTCTGTTAAGGTTGATTCTATTATGGCTAAATACTTAGTCATTAATTACAAATCAGTATCAGCTTTTATTGCCAGACCCTGACCTCTGAGAGAACTGTTAATAAATTGAAATGCAAATAAATATTAATGCTATAACTTATCAGTTTAGCTCTCCTGAAAATAATCAATATAAAAATACTTTCAACATCTAGATAATTTACATTGCTAGGTGATCTTATGTATTCTATAGCATTGCATATGTTTCCAACAAATGGTGACTTTCTACCTTTATTGTTCTACACACAAAAACAAGGTGTTTAGTACATAGGACATTCATTCCTGATTTCGTGATCTGCTTCAAATACTACCTCATCATAATTGATCCTTTGCAACTAAACGGATTCAAATTGGCATTTAACACACTTTGCAGCCTTGATAATAACAATAGTGTGCTTTTTTTTTTTTCATGGTTTTCTTTGTTTTGTTCAACTCCTTCAGATATGGATGTCATTGAGTGCTCCTTGCAGTTCCCAGATGATGACTACACCTGGTGGGACCTCTTCATGAAGATCTGTGTCTTTATCTTTGCCTTTGTGATTCCTGTCCTCATCATCATTATCTGCTATACCCTGATGATTCTACGCTTAAAGAGTGTCCGGCTTCTTTCTGGCTCCAGAGAAAAAGACCGCAACCTGCGTCGGATCACCAGGCTTGTCCTGGTAGTGGTGGCAGTATTTATTATCTGTTGGACACCCATTCACATTTTCATCCTTGTGGAAGCTCTAGGGAGCACCTCTCACAGCACGGCTGCCCTCTCCAGCTATTACTTTTGCATTGCTTTAGGTTACACCAACAGCAGCCTGAATCCCATTCTCTATGCCTTTCTAGATGAAAACTTCAAGAGGTGTTTCAGGGACTTCTGCTTTCCAATTAAAATGAGAATGGAGCGACAGAGCACCAGTAGGGTCAGAAATACAGTGCAAGATCCTGCTTACATGAGGGATGTTGATGGGATAAATAAGCCAGTATGACTAGTCGTGGAGATGACTTCTTGTAGTTCTCCAGGAAGAGAGGAGTTCAATGATTTAGGTTTAACTCAGATTACTACTGCAGTCTGAAATGGAAAGTGAGAATTTTTAACAAACTTTTAGAAATATGAAGGTCTGAATTCATGCAACGCAGGTTGCATTAGCAAACTAGGTCAGTGGAAGCATCAAGGATGTAGGAATGGAGTACAGAAGATTAGAGCAATTACTAGGCAGGGAATCAAGACTGACTCCCAGATTCCTTGATGAACAAGAAACAGTCATCCTTTTGGTTACTAAGATTTAGTTCAAGACCCATCTGTTGTGGTCTTTCTATGCAATGTGATTCCAAAAGCTCTGTTTATAAAAATGGAAAATTAAAAAAAAGTGGTTTAAGAGCTCAGTGGACATCCAATTCAGATGCTTACCATTGATAGCAACAATTTAATAAGAACAAGGACCATTTCCAGGCTCCATGCCCAGTTCTCTTTCACTCTATGGACTTGAATTTCATGTGGCTGTGTGATGAGAATTCCACCTTTATTATATCTTAGACCCATACCTGAGATTTCTGATGTTGATGTATAATAAAAAAATATTTTGATATTTATGATTCGCAACATATTTTACTTTCTTGAAAAGTACAGCTTGTTTAAGCATGCTAGTTATATAAATAATCTTGTGGTAAAGTATGTCTTAATGTCAAGAAATATAAAGTGGTTTAAATACCACATATATATGTGAGTGTGTTTCTATATACGTGTGTTTGTGTATATATATATATATATATATAAAATTGCATCTGTGAAAATATATATGTGTAAATAAAAAATGACTTGCCTTCTGGCAGGGAGTTTCCTGAGAGTACACCAATGGGGTCTCCAGAGTTTTTAGAATTGAAGCTAGGATATTACTGACCTTCCCATCCCTTCCCAACCCCCCAGCAGCCTTTGCTTCTTTACCAGTGCTCATAATTTACATGTTAATGAATCAAGAAATATTTAACTCACTCCAGGTTGTAGCACTGCAAAATCTGTGTGCAGTTTATGTGCACCGTCTCTTTATGAATAGGTATTTATTATTATATTCTTTCTATTAATGGAATGAGGACATTTTGCTTATTTAGACTTTGACATATTATTTTGTGGCTTTTAAGAGGTGGATTCATTCCTAATTGTGGGCTAAATGAAGACATTATGTCACTCATGATACTTGGACATACCTGGTATTTTGTTCTGTGAAGAAGAGCACATATCTTGGGGATAATGCCACGAGCAGCACATTTTGGGCAATTTGGCTAGTTCTTCCAGATGATACATAAATTTGCCATTCTCTCCATTGGAACTATGGTTTCGGAGGTAATGGCTTTTTGCTGGAATTACCTGGGTAAAAGAAAGAGATAATACAGAAGTAACAATCATCTCTTCTTTAAGCCTATATATTATTAGGACAACATCCTCTGGAATTTAATAGGAAAATCAAATGCATAGACCTGTATTACTATAGACGTGACTACATATATAAATTCTGTTCACTTTCTCTTCTGTAATTACTCTCTCATTTAGGGAACACAGTTTTCATTGAAGGTTTTACATGTGGCTCAAAAACTTACCATGATTTTATCTACATTCTGCATTTTTATGGCAGCTAACACAGATTTTCCTAATGAAAATGAAGTGCTCATTTCATTTTCATAGAGCATTTTAAACATTTATTAAATTTCATTGATATTTTTAGGCGGCCTTGTGCCATAACTAAATGTAAATAGAAATGACTTAAATATTGGTTAGCATACACATCATGCTTCAAAATTTTGACTCTCATATAGGAGAGATGGCTACATAGAAAATGGTTCCAGGAACAAACCCTGCTGATGTGTAAGATATAAAAAACCTCTTTATAGAACAGTAAAACCTAGATTTTCTTTTACTTGTTTTCATGTTCCAATATTTTCTTTCTCTATTCTTTAATTATTTTATTTTATATGATTTTTACATCATTTTTCATTTGTGTACTATGTATACATTTTCATCTCAGTTATAGTCCCCATGAAATTCCCACCACCCATTTATGTGTGAACCATCACCATGGACCCTTGTGTTCTTTCCACCCCTGTTTTGATCCTACTCCCTTCTTCCCCCTCTGTAGAATGTCTCTGGCTTAGAGTTCCCTGCTGATTTTGATTTTTACTTTATTATAGTTCCTTTTTTTTTCCTGATCCCTTATTTGGATCCAGTCTTCTTCTAAGTGAGACCATTCAATATTTTTCTTTTTCTTTCTGACTTATTTCACTGAGCATGATCCCTTCCGGCTCCACCCACATTGCTACAAATGGCATGAGTTTATCTTTTTTGATTGCTGAGTAATATTCCGTTGTGGATATTAACCACATCTTCTTGATCCAGTCATCTATATTTGGGCATTTGGCTTACTTCCATAGCTTACCTATTGCAAATAATGCTGCAATAAACATAGGGGTGCAGGTGCCCTTTGGAATTAATATTTTTCTGTTCTTTGGGTAGATAGCTAGGAGTGGAATTGCTGGATCATATGGAAGCTCCATTTTCAGTACATTGAGGAATCTTCACACAGCATTCCAAGGTGGTTGGACTAGTTTGCACTCCCAACAGCAGCGCAGGAGAGTTACTTTTTCTCCACATCCTTGCGAACATTTGTCATTGCTAGATTTTTAAATATGTGTCATTCTCACTGCTGTAAGGTGGTATCTCCTTGTGGTTTTGATTTGCATTTACCTGATTAAAAGTGATGTTGAACATTTTTTCATATGCCTGTTGGCCATTTGCATTTCCTCTTTGGAGAAGTTCCTTTTTTAGCTCTTCTGCCCATTTTTTGACTGGATTATTTACTTTGTTTTTGTTGAGTGTTGCCAGCTCTTTGTAGATTTTTGTGATCAGCCCTTATCATTAGTATTATGTGCAAAAATTTCCTCCCAATCATCTCTTTGTTTTGGTTAATGTCTCTTTTGCTATACAGAAGCTGGTTTTTTTTTCCTGTTAAGTGTAATTTTATTTGTTTAAACATGTTGTATGTTTATTGAAGTAATGTAGATTTACAACACCTTGTTTTAAGGGTAGATGTTCACAACTCCATAGATGTATGCTATACCATACTCACCAACCACAATAATTTTCCACCATAGTCATTTAGGCTCCCTCCCCACTTTTGCTCCTACCTACAATGTCCCTTCTGTGTTGCCTCAGAGGCCATGTGAAGAACCAAGGTACCCTACCCAACAGCCAATACTAACTGCCAGAAAGGGGAGAGAGGCCATCTTGGTCCATCTGTTCCTTCTCTGCCCTCAGATGAGTGCAACTACATAAGACTCCAAGTGACAACAGCAGAAGAAACCTTCAGACAAACTATAGAATGTTTTTTTTAAAATGTTTTAAAATACTGTTTTAAATCCTTGAAATCGTATTGAATTATTGAGACAACACAGAAGCTCTTTAATTTGATGTGGTCCCAGCTGTTTATCCTTTCCTTCACTATGTTTGCTTTGGGTGATATCTTTAAAGATGTTACTGAGGTGTATGTCATGTAGTGTTTTGCCAATATTTTCTTCTATATATTTTATGGTTTCAGTTCTTCTCTCTAGTTCTTTAATCCATTTTAGTTGTTTTTTGTGCATGGTGTGAGATAGTAGTCAAGCTTCATTCTCTTGCATGTAGCAGCTCAGTTTTTCCAGTACCATTTATTGAACAAACTTTCTTTGCTCCATTGCATATTCTTTGCTCCTTTGTTAAAAAAAAAAAAAAAAAAAAAAAAAAAAAAAAAAAAAAAAACAGATTTTCTTGAAGATTCTTACGCAGTCCAAAATTTTAACAGAGTCATAATCACAGAATGAATTTATAGTAATGTGTTTTCTTTATATTAGTACCCCATGTCCTCATTGACACTATTTGTGTCTGATTATACTACATATCTTCATAGCTAAATGTGTACTTCAAGAGGAGAGAGAAACAGTTCTAAGCAGCCATGAGGATTGTCCCAAGTGCCTCCATTATTATTAACACTATTTCCCCAAACAGAAAAAAGGAAAGGTGAAGATGTTATTTTAGGGCAACCCATTTATTTATTTATTTATTTACTCACATACTTGTAACATTTAAAGAATGATAAAATGAATTGTCTATTTTCTGAAATAGTACTTACCTAAATATTTCCTTTTCATATGTGTGATTGTGTGTATGATTCTGGGTAAGTACATAGGCACACATGTGTGTGATAGTGTGCCAATGTGTGTGCATGTGTGATAGTATGTGAGAGCCCGTGTGATGCATAGGTTTGTGGATAAGAATGTGATAGTGTGTATGTGTGTGTGTCCCATTTGTTGATGTTCCTATTCTCCCATCAGAGTGAAGAGGGCCCCTTGAGCTCAGACTTTCCTCTATCTAACCTCTTGATCAAGTCCCTCCTCGAATTCCATTTTTCCCCTCTGGTAACAGCTTCTAGAAGACAGGTTCTAGTGAGGGGTCAAAAAAAAAAAATAAGAAATGTGAAACAGCCATGCAGGGGCAGCAGTGAGGGTGAAAAATCAGTTCTAACCATAAGGAGGTTGGACCTACCTTTAGTGGCTCAGAATATGCTTAGGAATCTCAATACTAAAAGGAAACATAGTTTGGAAACAGTTTTTTTTTTTTAATCAAAGATTATGTTCATAAATCTTAAGAAAATGGTTGCATCCTATGTTGTATTACTGAGAAATAAAACATTAAATTGAAAAACCATTATCAGACAATTTAGAGATGTTTTGAGTATTGGAATATAATAAGATTACTAAATTAATATATAGATTGACTTTAACTTTGAACTTTTAAGTGAGAAACTGGGAGAAGGTTGTATATGCATTCACTAAGATTTATTTTCTAAGCAAGAGTTGTTGGAAGATTCAAAGTAAATATGGAAATTCTATTCCAAAAGGGTATAAACTTGTGTGACCTAGGGCAGTTTTCTTTGCTAAAACAAAACTGTTCATAATAATAATTACTAAAATACATAATATTTACATTGTGTACTTTTAAAAGCAGAGACTTATGCCTTGTGTATATGATTTTGTGCCTTGCCATACAATAAATATTGTGCCTGCTAAAATCACAATATTCGGTTACTCTGGTAAGTCATCTCTTCTTTATTGGTTTCAGTGATACTTTAGTAGAACTAAAATGATTGCTCTAAATTTCCATCCATGACAGTTTTGTGGATGATTGACGTAAAGGAACAAAACATGCAGAAATCTAAACTATGATTTTCATTTCCCAAACCTATCAATCACTTAGGAAAATTCACCTTGTTTCCACAATAATGCTGTCAAGATCCCAGAATCAAGATTATAAACTTCCCTCCAGTGAAAAACACTTGTTCACTGTACAAAATTCAAAATAAAACTTTCCCCCCAATAAAAAATAATGAAACAAACAAAAACCTAAAAACATAAGCAGCCTTCTGTCCTGTTCCTAATATAGCATCACTGCAGTAAATTATCTGTTCCTAAACCTCATGTTGATTGTCTTTACAAACCAAGAACAATTTAAAAACCAGTGTATTGAGAAGATGAGGATAGTTTTTCAAGTAGAAGCAGAAAAACTTGAGGAACAATACTCGGATGCTGGCTCATGAGCATGGGGGCTTCATATGCAGTACAGGGCGGGGGTGCTGCATGTAGGTGATAAACGCAGATGGTTTCAGTGCCCAAATGATTGTGTTAGATCTCTGTTTCTCTCCTCATTTCTTTATTCTTGTGCTTCTGTGTTGCCTTCATTTTTAGGCAATCTTTTTCTAACAGTGGTACTAGAAGTTCCAGGATGACATGGCCCATACAGTTCACAACACACAATGAAAAATAAGACCCTCTTATTTACAGCACCCATATATCCAAGGGAGGGACTCTAATTCCCCTATCCCTAAATCAATTATAATTGAAGGGTTAAACCAATTAGCCAGGCCTGGGTTGTGTGTTCTCTCTAGCTCCATCTGTGTATCAGCAGGGAGCTGTCAGGAAGATTTAGTTTTCCTTGAGCCTCACAGAATGGATTATTACCACTGGAGAATAGGTATTCTATAACCAGAGAACTGAAAAGTGGACTCTAAAAAAAGAAATACAACAGCTCCTTATCCCAGCATAGACGCGGTGATATTTTTATTTTTGGTTCTACATAAAGAAAGGGCAAGAATCTCATGGAAGTGGAAAAGCAGAAACAGCAGCTTTATAAGGAATGTGGATATAAAAGGAGCATGGAAGTGGAGGTAGAGATGGAGGGTGAGATGGGGGTGGGCTAAGCGGAGAATGACGATGCCACAGGCTGCCATAGGATGAAGAAACATAGTGCTCTGACAGGTGGTGTCACTTCTCTCCTGTTCTGGGATTTAGGTTCCAGATTTATGTATTGCCAAGAAGAAAATCACACTAAAAATATTGATATTCCTAAGTATTCATTCTAAATAGCAATTAGCATAAAAATTTGCAAATTTTGTATTTATAAATGAGAATAGACTATCCTTAAAATTAGTAGGTAAAATTTAACACATAAGCCACAGTATAAGTAATATTTCTGAAAAGTTCCAACCTAAAAATATTTTATCAATAAAACAAGTTGAAATTCATGAGAAAAAATGAATATTTGCAAATGTTATAAATAACACTAAAATGGCACATTTAATACAAAACATAATGTACAATGGCTGACTAAATTAATGCTTTTCTTATACCTTTTTATATCTTCCATAAAGATGAGACCTTGTTATGCAGGGGCTATTTATACCTAAGTAAATCCTGTAACTATCTGGTCTAAATTAAACACCATTGTGAGGAAGGTAGATTCTAGCATTTTATTCGTGAGAAAAGAGAATATATTGCAGGGACAGTGAGGGGAAAATATATAAAATAATCTGTGTTTCATGTGTGAACAGAGAATGGACATTGACATTCTTTGTATAGCTTCACACAAAACTATGGCGTGTCAGCTGGAGAATGCTTCCATTTGAATAAAAATTAAGAGTGTTATATTATGAGATAAACTAAAGAATATTGTGCCAACAAATACTTGAATAGATTTTTTAAAATGCTGATTTTTTGTGTTGTTTAACTAGAAGATATTTTTTCAATAACCTGTTTTCATTTTGAAGTTGTGCTTAGATGAGCACACTTGAATAAAGTGACCCTCTCAGTGAGTTTTTGCTTACTTTATTCTATGACACTTCTCCCAAAAACTTTATTTTCAGATTTAAACATAATCTCAGTGTTCTTTTGTCATATTTTGTATACATTCCTCTGTACATAAACATTTGTTTCTAAGGACTATTTTTTTTTAAAAAAGAAGGCATTTCCATTTAGAGCAACATTGGGCAAAATTTGACTTATGGAATATTTCTTGATTATGATATTCAAATATTAGTTTCCACGTCATTTAACAACATAAACAGCAACAACACATAATACTGGACATGCTAACTAGAGATTTAAGCAAGAAAAAGATATAAAAGAAATAAAATTGGAGGACCTCCCTGGTGGCGCAGTGGGTTGAGCTTCACGCTATGAAACTATCTGCAGCCTCTGCAGCATAGGTTTCATCCAGGCCGTCTGGCAAGAATCCCACATGGCACAGCAGACCTCTCCTGACTCTCCCGCTGCTCCCCTCAGCAGTGTATTTTGTCAGTCTGCCTGTTCTGTTCCCTGCTCTGTCTCTGGTGAATTCTCTCACCCTCCAGCGCCTCTGACTGTAACCCATTTCTTGTATAAATAAATAAATCTTTAAAAAAAAGAAAGAAAATTGGAATGGAAGAATTAATACTATCACTGTTTGTAGATGACATGATAATATATATAAAAGACCCTAAAGATTCCACTGAAAATCTATTAGAAATAACCAATCATTACAATAAAATAACAGGACACAACAAAAATAAGTGAAAATCAGTTACATTACAGAAGAGAATACCAAGAAAGCAATCTCACTTACATTTACATCAAAAATAATTAAATATCTAGGAAAAAACTTAACAAAGGTGGTAAAAGAACTGTACAATGAAAAATACAGGATTTTGTTAAAAGATATAGGGAAACAAGGAAATGGAAAGATATTCCTTGCTAATGGATGGCAACAGTTAGAATTATTAAAATAACCACAATAACTATCACAATATACAGATTTGATTCATTCCTATCAAAGTTTCAATAATTTCTTCAGAGAAATAGAGCAACATTACTAAATTTTATAAGAAATAAAAAAATATCAAAACAATGTGACTACAAAGCTATAGTAAATTTAATATGAATTAAATTAGACACACAGATCAATGGCATTAATTTGAGAGCCCAGAAATAAACCCACAGGTTTATATATGACAAGATATGACTAAAGACAAAATCAACTGCATCTGTGGAATGTATTTTAATTGATAAAGTTGTTTTCTATGATAGTAAGTGCTAATCTGATACTATTATACATATATAATAATTAAAATCAAGCAATTAGTCAAATAGGGGCTATTTATACCTAAGTAAATACTTTAACTATCTGGTTTAAATTAAACACCGTTGTGAGGAAGGTAGATTCTAGCATTTTATTCATGAGAAAAGAGATTATATTATATTGGAAGATGGTGTGAGTCATGTTTCCCAGTTGGAAAAGGGGAACTAAGAAGGAAATGAGACTAAAATAATCCATGTTGAAATGGATTAGATATGGAGACCTCAGTAGGACCTCATTTTTATTGTAATGTAGACACCAATGAATATATATAGAAAAAATTATAGATATGTAAATACTTGGGTAATTATATAAACATGTATGCTCTTGCTCTGTCAACAGAGAGTCTAACAGAAATGACATATATAGTGACCAAATAATGGTTTTTAACACCAATCTCCAATACTAATAACAAGAAATAATTCTAAGACTGAGGGTGGTAAAATACAAGATGAACCTGGAACATCCTGTAGTACCAAAAAGTAACAATATGCTAAAAATAAATAATTAGTCCCATAGTTCTGGAAAAACATCAAAGGAACCAGGAATCTGGTGAAAGATTGCTAACTGACCAAAAGTAGAAGAATTTGAGTAACGAAATTTTTGAAAAGTGTAGTATTGGATCAGAACTAGGTTGTAAAATAAATGTCTGAGTCCATAGTGGCATGGATAAATAATTGAATAAATAAATAAAATGGGGGTAAGGGACAATCTCCAAATATTTTATGTAGTTCTTTCTCCCTCCAGGAGGCATTGCACAACTCGTCAGTCAGAAAGTGTGGGCTTGTGCCTAATATCTGCCTTCTGGATTACAATGTGGAAAGACAGGAAAAAAGAGTGAACTTAAATCAGAGTTGACTAAGGTCAACATGAGTGATGTGTTGTGTTGATAGTGTGCACCCATGATGTGATATAGTGAGATGGTACCATACTTTAGTCTTCCTCCCAAAAAGTCATAACTCAAGTCTACATCATGATGAAAACATCAGAAAAATCCCAACTTGAATAGTACTTTTCAAAACTGTCAGGATTGGGGGTATAGCTCATTGACAGCACATCTAAAGGGAATAGTATGAGCAGCTGTCACAGTCAAGAAGAGTCAATAAAACATGAAAACTAAATGTAATGAGTAACTTGGATGGAATACTAGAACAGGAAAAAAGACATTAGAAAAAACTAGTGAAGTCAAAATGATGTATGGACATTAGTGATAACTTTTGAGTCAAAACTGTTTTTGCTAAACCCAGTATATGCACCATACTAATGTGAGTTGTTAATAATAGGGGAAGCTGGGCCTCCCTGGTGGCGCAAGTGGTTAAGCACAGCATTATGAAGCTATCCACAACCTCTGCAGCATGAGTTTCATCCCTAGCCACAAGGTACAGCAGACCTCTTCTGACTCTCCCACTGCTCTCCTCAACAGTGTATTTTTAGTCAATCTGCCTGTTCTGTTTCCCACTCTGCCTCTGGTGAATTCTCTCACCCCACCCCCAGCACCTCTGGCCTGTACTCCAGTTCCTGTTTGCATAAATAAATAAATCTTAAAAAAAAATACATGATCCTGAGTGTACAGTACAATGGCAACCTCTATTCTATCTTCTCAATTGTACTGTATTTCAAAATCTTTTCTAAAAATAAAGCT